CTTTAAGCCTTATTTTATAACTTGGATAATGTTCTAAATCAGTGTTTGGCAGCCTCATAAGAGTTACATTTTGTATACTGTATTTCATAAATAAAATGTAACAGAACTTGCTTTTGAGTAGACATGTAGAAAATTGCATTGTCAGTCTAATTATGAAATACCTCTGTGAACTCATAAAGGGTGGAGTACGCTTTCTTTGAGAAGTGGAATTCCCATCCTAATTCAACCTGAAAAACTTGCCAGTGCGGTCTTACAATTGATGACCATGCACTGTGTGTACCAGTCCTGATAACGGTCGAAGATTACCACATAACCTACACAGGTTCAAAAGCAAGTCACCCACAAGAAAGCAACCATGGGATTTAGGCAACAGGACGTCTTTTGTGTAATAAGCATTGCAATGCTATAGACGTGAATTAAGTGGTTTCTAACATTTTGTGTTTGCTTGTTTTGAACCCACAAGCCAAATACTTCTCTGACATATATTCCACACTTCAGCCTTTACAAAATGCTTCCAGAGATTCCTTTTCAATGCCTACAGCACAATATTTTGAGTACACATAACAGATTATTTATTCCTGTCCCTGTGCTAAAAAAGAAATTTAATTAAGTGTTTTTACCAATGAAGCTAGATAGATGCATGGCTCTTTTTAAAATTTAAAAAAGAGGATATGTGTACACAGGCATAGATATATAATTAAAACAAATACCATTACATTAACCAATATTGCAAATCACACCCCAGAGGAAAGCTGCATTTTTGCTAAACACAGTTGGTCCTACTTTAGCTATCACAGGAAACTCTGATTTGACAAATGATGAATGAAAAAAGGAAGTCAACATGAAGAGGGAAAAGGAAAAGACGGTCTGTAATCCATTTCTTATCCTTCAACTCACATTTAGAAGACATGTGTACTAAGCCACTATGGACCACATATCATCTTAAACTCTGTACTATACTGTGGCAAATAAACAACCAGTCAGGGTGGGCTTTTCTACTAGACTGTTTATAAATTAGACATTTGCAGAATTTCTTAAAGTGCTATCTTTTCCGATCATCTCCACACTGACCACAACATTGCGACATAACCTCAAGGCTTCCGTAACACAATATGGAATGGGTACACAATGTTGCCTTGAATTGACAGTTATAGTGGTACTTCAGTATTTAATACCATAGACAGCAATTCCTTCCAAGCACAATGAAGAGGCTCCTTTGGAAAAGAAAAAGTAATTATCAGTTAAATGTAGAGTGCTCTTGTACCATCCCTCCTCCCTAAAATCACAACATGAAAATAAATGTGGTCAATCGGTCCAAGGCCTATCAAGTCCAGCATTCTGTTTCTACAGCAGCCAGATAGATGAATATGGACAAGAGCAGAACAAGAGTGCCACAGCATTCTCATTCTCATGTTTCCCAGCAACTGGTATTCAGAGGCAACATGCATCTGTGATGGCTGGTAACCACAGACAGCAGAATCCTCCATGAATTTGTCTAACCTTTTTAAATCTACGCAGGCTGACAGCTATCTCTCCCAGCTACTAATGCACTTTGGGTACATCTTGAGCAAAGTCACAGATTAGTGCTTTATTTCAAGAAATTCCCTTCTCCGTGGTGTCTGTCAGCAGGCATAAGAAACAGCGAATTCCTCTAGCTCATAGCACTGCCACTTGAAATCATGACATTTTCCATTGCCAGCAGATCTGGTATAGGCACCAAAAGATCAGCTTGGAGGGAATCAATTTGTAACGGCAGGCTGGCTCTGCTCACAAGAAACTCATGAACAACATTAAGTACATGTGAGCTCTGAAAAGGATGGGGGGAGAATGGTGCCATAGGGTGAGGCAGCCAGGAGCAGCAGGCCGCTGTTTCCCTCTGTTTCCTGCAAGGAAGGCTACATGTCTTGACACCATAGTATTAATCATAACTTTGAGAACATTAATCTGATTTCTTATGCCTGAGTAAATGTACTTAGAACTATGCTACAAGTGGACAAAGCAGCTCTTACTGATGATGTCTTCCACTGATTTTAACAACACAGCCACAGTCAGTGATACAGTTTTTCTTAAAGAGTCCAAAAGTGGACTATTATTCCAAGAAAGGAAGTTACTATTTCATTTAGAATCACGTTAAAGATCTGTAGATGTTCCAGTTTTCAGATGCAACTAACATGGTTTGAGCCTCTCATTCTTCAGCAGGTTAAATAAAGGCACAAACTAAAAATAAATGTTCCAGTATTAATGCCAAAAATACTCATCCTATCCATATCAGTTCTTCAGAAACATTTGGTAGTGCTATTAAAGTCCTGTGCTATACTTACACTTGCATGATTTCTTATGTTCAATCAGACTCTTTGCTCTTATAGGAATGTATAAATACAGTACATAGTATTGTTCTCAATATTTTGACCATCACAGATTAAAAAGAAGCATTCCTTTCATAAGATATGTGGTTATTATATTTAATTTGTTAGGCTACTATCACTCACAGCCTTTGTTTTAAACTCCATGCACCATGTTTGCAGCTACAAGAAGTCAGATCTATATGTGTCCTTATATTATGTATCAAAGATGGTTAAAATGCAGCCATCCAGATGACATGGGACTGCAACAGTTATGCTGGCTAGGGCTGATAGGAGTTGCCCAACAACATTCATGTATTCCCACTACTCTTGTACAGTACTATGTTAATACTTTTTTAAAAATTCCAAAGAGGTAGCCACTATTAATTTGTTTCAGCATATATAACAAAAATAAAGCAAAAGAACAAAACCGAGGTATAGCAGCATGACTAACAGATCTATCTCAGGGTGAATCTTTGTGGATTACAATGCACTTCCTTAGACACATGGAGGTCTCCATATTGCAATCCCTGTGTCTGACTGAAATAAATCTAAATTTGTGGCATCCTAAAGACTGCTGCTTCACCTTTGCTTCTGTTAAGTAAACCACCAGCAATCAGCATTTCCTTTGAGCAGTCTAAATAAACTACCCCCCCCAAAAAAAAACCAGTTTTGTACAGCTACCTTTCCCCATCTTTAGCTCCTATTTAACAAGATGTGTTCTTTGGAATGCCTCAAAGCAATTCCATAGTAGATACCAGTTGGCAGGAAAGTCAACGCTAAAATAGATAATTCCTCTGCTTCAAATACATATGTGCAGCATGATGTCACATCTGCTCTCCTTTGCACACATTTTTTTCTATTCTGGTGGGTATATGAACATCGCTGACATAATTTCAGAAAACCAACATAGAAGGCGCAACATGTTTTAGCATTATTACAGTTAAAGTTTATAATCTTGGCTGCATCATGATGTAATTCTCTTATTCTTCTAAGATACCTGAAGTGACTTTAAAAGGCACAAATAAAATTGTTCACAAAGTCCATGTTAATTCTTGTTCCCCCTGACTTGTAGTCCCCTGTAGGTCTGCTGAGTTACATCAGGATTGGAGTATAAGGTAATTTGGAATCTGCTGGTACATAACTGAGTGATTTGCAGTAGCTCAGCATTCCCTACCCAATGGTTTTAAAACACAGACAGTAAGATGTTGCCTTTTTCATAATTAAGCAAGATAGATAATAGGAAAGCAGAAGATGTGTGAACAAATTTGTATGCAAGCTCCAGTGTTGATAATGAAAACAAATTCCTGGGTTGGGCATGTAATCAGAAGGCACCTTCTTCCACAGTGCTATGCTTATCTTCTTGCATCATTGTAGTACAATTGACTCTGGTTAGCTGGCTTTAGGATTCACTTCAGTGAAAACCTCACAGATTTAACATCTGTCCATGCTTGGTCTACAGCCGCACAGTAAACTCCACCCAAGTAATCCATGTCCATCACATCCAGATTACAAAATGCATCTCTTAATCTATAAGCAAACTTTATAATGCCTTGGGTCATGTATGCTTTCTAACATAGTTGACAGTAATTAATTATTCCTTTTACAAGTGTATTTTTATGCAAAAACTGTGGTTTATGAAAGCTGTCTCTTGGTAATAATGTGAAGAAGGGTGTTAATAATGCCGGACTAGGATTCAGGAGACCAGGGTTCAAATTCCTCCTTGGCTGTGGAAACTCGTTGTGGGGTGGCAATAGTAAAACCCAACTGTTCATGTACCTTGAAACCCCCATTGAGGTCACTATAAGTCAGGCATGACTTAATAAAATGGAATATAACAGCGTACCCATAAATAAAACACACTATAACAAATGAGCTGGACCATAAAGGCTGACCACCGAAGAATTGATGCTTTTGAATTGTGGTGCTGGGGGAGACTCTTGAGAGTCCCCTGGACTGCAAGGAGAACACACCTTATCAATTTTGAAGGAAATTGAGTGCTCACTGGAAGGACAGATCCTGCAGCTGAGGCTCCAATGCTTTGGCCATCTCATGAGAAGAGAAGACTCCCTGGAAAAGACCCTGATGTTGGGAAAGTGTGAGGGCAAGAGGAGAAGGGGACGGCAGAAGATGAGATGACTGGACAGTGTCATCGAAGCGACCAACATGAATTTGACCCATCTCCGGGAGGCAGTGGAAGACAGGAGGGCCTGTGGGGTCACGAAGAGTCGGACACAACTTAAGGATTAAAGAACAAAATAACAAACAAAACAGATCACGTGGTGGACAGTAGCTAATGGGTTTCTCTGTCAAGGCTCTATTTCTAAAGATGCCAGAACTCGAGATTTCATGACTCTCTCTCTCTCTCTCCCAATGTGTGGGAAGTGGTTGGGGTGACTCAGTAATTAAGAAAGGCAGCCCTAACAAATGCTGCCTTCTTGATCATACAAGGAAAGTGGGGGGGGGAAGCACTTTCACGCAAGATCCAGGGTAGCCCTCCCTGGGTTGTCTTCCGGATAATGTTGAATCACAACGACCACGTTGATTCAGAGCAATGGGGCTTGTAGTCTAACGGGGCGGGGGGTGGTGGAGAGACATCAATTTGGAAAGGCTACTCGAGAGCCTGGCAACCGGTAAGTCCTCCGTGTTTCTACTTACCCATATTATACCCATAAGGCGACTCTGTGGCTCCATCCTCGAGGCTAGCGAGGATCTCCCCCTTGCCCACGTCGCTGTCCCCCACCAGCAGGAATTTGAGCAAGAAGTCGTAAGCTTTCACAGGGCTGCCCACGTGGTTCATCCTCTTCCACCTCCTTTCTCTCTCTCTCTTTCTCTCCCTTCGCTTCGCACCGATCCTTTCTCTCTCTCTCTCTCTCTCCCCCTTCGCTTCGCACCAAGTCCCTGTTGCAGCCTCAGCTCTCAGGGCTCACGACGGGCACCGAGGGGGCACCAAGGGCTGGGGCCGAGGAAGAGCAGCAGGTGCGCAGCGGCATCTTTCAAAAACCTTCCCGCGGAGTGGGTCGCCGACGACGATTCTCACGACCCTCAAGATTTCGGGGTTGGCGGTGAAGGGCGCGTGTGTGTGTGTGTGGGGAGGGGTGCCGCTCAGGGTGCCAGCAGGGCGGGGAACGAGCGGGAGGAGGGGACGAGGCGTCCCTGCCGCCGGGGAGCCGAGGGTAGGGAGGATTTCAACGGCGCCATCGGAAGGAGCGCACGTAGGCCAGCGGCATAGGCGGCCGTGCCCACGTCCTCCCCCTCCAGAGTGGCCAGTCGGCACCAACCGCGAGGGGCAGCGCAGGGAGAAGAACCTGTCACGACGGGCAAACACGGGGGCGCGAAGGGGGCCCCCCTCAAGCTGCGCGCCCGGGATGGTGGTGGTGGCGGCGGTGGCTGGGGCGGTAAAGGACGCGGGTTGTGTCCCCACCGCAGCGGGGACGCACTGCCGTGTCCGAAGAGGCGACGGAGGGTCCCGGCTGCGGTCGCGACAGCCTGTTGTCCGGGAACGGCTTTGCCAGGAGGAGAAGCGCCACTGCCTGCCTGCCCGCCTGCCCGCCTCAAGAGCAATCCTGTCAAAGCTCTCCCACCAACACCCCTCAACCCCCTGCCGTTCCCACTGGGGCGCGGCTTCCCATGCCACGCCCACCGACTCTTGCCATTGGAGAGGCGCCCGCTGCTTTTCCCCCATTGGTCAAGCCGCGGCTCCAGGATTCCACCCTCTCTGAAGGCATTGGCAACACGAACCCACCCCCCTCGAGGCCCAACAGTTCAGTTGCTAGGGGACTTCTTCTACGCGATTGGCTGGCGAACGCGCCCGTCACCGTGTTGCGGGGCGAGGTGTGCAGGAGGGTTGTGTTTACACATTGGGGGCCGAGGCATGTGCTGTTCGGGTCCGCGTGAGCGCAGCTTAAGAGCGCCCACGCGGTTTCGATTCCAGGCTCCGGCTCCCGTTTGTCCAGGTGATCGGGCGGAACCAGAAAAGAACACGAGAAAGCAGAGTAAATCCATCTATGTAAATCTGGGCTGCGTTAATGTTTGCATGGCAACCTGCGGAATCAAGTACCAACGGCAGCAGAACACAGTTTTTCTTCCCAGGAAGCAGGTGTTTTGTGTGGGATAATTGGGTTTATCGAATCCACCCCATCTTGTCAAACAAAGAGAATCTGGTTAGTTGATGCTGGGGAGATTAAGGGATTTTGCTCTGAGCCAATAAAGCAATTCCTGTATTCCCTTATGAAAGGCAGTCTGGAATGCTTGATAGCAGAATATAATTGGACTCAAACGTAATTTGTTTTGGCCAGTCTTCCGTGTGGCTCCCAAGTGCGTTGATCTGAACTGGACGTGGTACATGCAATAACCAAGCGGCCTAATGTGTGGTGCTTCATTAAACAAGGTTTAGGCCCCAAGTCAAATCAATGTTCAGTGTTGTAACTTCCCTGCCTTGTTACAGCAATAAGTGGGCAACTGTCTCTTCAATGTCTCATAAGATAACACTTAAACATACAACCCTGTTTCCCTGAAAATAAGACCTAGTATGATTTTTCAGGATGCTGGCAATACAAGCCCTACTCCAAAAATAAGTCCCTGTTAAGTGAAACCCCACCCTCCACCATTGTGCAGCTACCAGAATACAGTACAGTGGTGCCTCGCTTAATGGGTGCTCCGTTTAGTGATGAAATCGCTTAGCGACGACTTTTCCGGAGCATTTTTGTGCTTCATTTAGTGATGGTCCCTATGGGTGATTTTTGCTTAGCGATGGTTGGGACCATGCTTCGCATAGCGATTAAATTTTGGGTCCCCTGTTTCGCTTAACGATGGTTTAAACAGCCTCATGTTTGCTGTTTTTTAAATGTTTTTCTGTTATTTATAAAGTTAAAGTTTACTGTTTAAAATGTTTGAAATCATAAAGTGCACTTAATAAACCCTTTGTTAACCAAATTTGACTTTGTTCTGACTCTTTTTTAATTTGTTGTATTTTTCCCCCATTGAGATGCACTGAATAGGTTTCATTGCATTTCAATTGGGGAACTGCGTTTTGCTTAGCGATGTTTCCTATGGCAATTGTCGCTTAAGGACAGCAATTCGTTCCTATTGGAATGGATTATCCAGTTTTCAATGCATTTCAATGGGAAACCGTGTTTCACTTAGCGATGAAATTGCTTAGCAGCGATTTTTTCGGGATGAATTAACATCGCTAAGCGAGGCACCACTGTATGTTAAATAAAACATCCCCTGAAATTAAGCCTGTGGCGATCACCCCTTTGTTGCCCCTATTTCCTTGGGCTCCACACAGGTAAACACGCCTTTTTCGCTGCCACCAGGTATTAATACCACTTCAAGTCCCACACAGGAACTGCCACCCCAAAAGGTCATATACTTTAGGAAGCAGGATTTATGATTAAGTATTCTTTTATTATTATTCAACAGGAAATCATATGTGAATTGGATCAGGTGTTAATACTTTTTAAAATCATGTAGTCAATTACTTTACTATCAATGTTGTATCTTTCTTGTTATGCTTATGCATTCATTCCTGCTTGTTACATGTGTTTTACTTTCATTATTCTCTCGTACTTCTTTAACCTGTTCCTAAACCCTAACAGTCTCTGTGCATCTTCTGGTCCCTGACTCTTTCTATCTTACCCTAACTCCAACTGTCTCTAACTGTCCTTCAACTCCTTCTGTCACTCTAACTCCACCCCTCCTGCTCTATCCTTGGCTCCTCCCCCTTAGCTGCTGTGATGGACAGGCAGGAATGACGTCACATTTCTGCATTCCGCTACAAAGCCCTAATGCATTTTTGGAGCAAAAATTAAAATAAGACCCTGTCTTATTTTTGGGGAATCACGGAATTATGGAATAGAATACATTATCTGTGGGAAGGTGTGGCATAAAACTGTTCTCTGGTAGTTTTAAACTGATCTCTGTTGGGAATGGCTTGTGTTTAGGGTAAATATGAGGATTCTGCAGCTCTTTCAGATACTACTGGGCTCCCAAACTCTTCTCAGCTACAGACAGAATGACAAATGGTCAAAGATGATGGCAGTTGGAGGCCATCAGTGTTGTAGGTTCCTCATTCGGGGCAGCCATTCAGGGCCCTAGCACATTCGAAGGGGGCCACAGACTGGAAACAATTTTTCACATACTATATTATAAGGTCTGTTATGTGAATTATACCATTCTGATTTGGCCTGCATTTCTTTCATATTGTGTTTATGGCCATGTAAAAAAAAGGTTGAGAATGGCTAATTTGTGGCAGTGATTCTCAACTTCTGATTACTTATATCTGATCTGAGAGCCAGTGTGGATAGAGTGATGGACTAAGACTTAAAGAGACCTGAGTTCAAATTCTCTCTTGATCATGGAAAGTCATAGGGAGACAGCCCTAGTAAAACCACCCAAGTATCTCACATATCCTAAAAAAGACCCATTAGGACTGCTGTAAGTGAAAACCTGGTTGCACCTTGACAGAAACAAAAATACTACTTTCCCTGGAAAATATATATGTTTACAGGCATTCTGCTGTATTTGGTAGAATGGATTTTAAGCAGAACACTAGAACAAAACTTACAAACATCTGATTTGCATTTAATAAGCCCTAAGGGATAAAATAAAGAATGTTACTGATTGTTTAGATGGGAATGAGGTGGAATCAGAATTTGAACGAAATAGAAGTAAAGCATTATGATCAAAAAGACCTAACAGCCTCATGAAAAACAGATGTGCTAGACATATCTGGAGAGACAGTAACAGGTTGAGGGTCCTTTGTGGAGAAGGCATTATTGTGTTCTTTAAAAAGCAGCTGTGTTCCTTTCCTGTCCCTGGTACAGGTATGGGCCTACATCAGCATCACACTTGTTATAGGCCTATTAGATTCTGGACGGTTCCCCAGTCCCTTGAAGTGCAGCAGGGAGGAGGAACCGCTAATTCTGCCTCTGTATTCTGCTATTTCATGAACAGAGGTCAAATGCTCAATCCTTCTCATGCTTTGGATTCATTCATTCTTAGAAACCTTTATTGGCATTATATGGTACAAGGGAGTACATAGCACAGTTACATTCCAGTTCCAGGTAAAGGGAGGGGCAGGCAAGGGGTTGTAGTAGGTTAGGTTCAGGAAAATTTATGAGGGTTTGGGGTGGGGGAGGTCTTCATAACAGTGAGGAGGAACTCAGCTACTTGACTGGTAATAGAAGTCGAAAAATCGCTCAGAAGTATGGGGGAAGGGTCAGGAAAAAAAGGGGAAAGGGAGGAGAGAAGTGGGCCTAGCAGCCGCTTGCGAGGGATATTGTGAGTTGGACACCGAAGTAAAATGTGGTCCAGGGAATCGGGTTCGGATGCACAGAAATGGCACAGTCTGTTGGAACGAGGAGTTCTTGTAAATCTTCCGAAGTGGGCTGCAGATGGAAAAATGTTCAGCCTGGCAAGCATGAAAGCTCGTCTTTTTTGAGGGTTGGACAGTTGGTTAAAATAATTAAAGGGACGGCCGAGGGAAGGGGATAGGCCAAAAGCAAGAGGAGAGCAAATAGGGTTCATTTGGGAAAATAAGGTTGCGTATTCAAGATCATAAAGACTGGACCTAATGGTTTGATGTGCTGAGTGGAGATTCATGTCGGCTAAGGTTTCGACAGAGAGAGATAATGAAGATAATTTGGCTTCTATAAAGTGAAACCACATGGAAGTAAAGGGGTCCTTTAATAAGT